TGTGTGTGTGTGTGTGTGTGTGTGTGTGTGTGTGTGTTATAAATCAGTATAGCACATTCTAACAGTTGGTCTGGGGTTTGGCTGCACTTTCTGGTCTGGGTGGGTCCACCGACTGGTGAGACTGTGGTTTAACAAGATCAGAAGTCAACGTTAGTCTGGATCTGGGGTTGATGTGGCTTCAGCTCACCATCTCTCAGACAACTGTTGATCATACAAATGCATCTGATAATACAAAAATTGGATTTGATTCCTCCACTGCACAGGTCCAACATGGATATAGTTCAGTTACTTTATCTGTGAAACCACATACAAAACCTTCTTTTTTGTTATAGGGAAAAATAGGCTACATATATTAAAGATAAAAACAATAATGTAGTTTGGTGTGTTGCTGCAGAACACAACAATCAAAATCATCACATTTGATATTCTTTGTCTTGACTTTATGAAGACCAGAACTGACCCAGGTCCAGATTTGCAGGGGGTGGGGTGATTTCACACCAACACCATGTTACCAGGCAAATCTAATACAGAGTCCATTTATTCCAGTATTTCAACTTAGACTGAGGGACCATTTAAAGAGGTACTTCACTCAAACTTTATTACATTTGCAGTGGTCTCTAGTATGAATGAATGTCTCGTAAGCCATACTCTGGGAAAAAAGATCAGATGTGCCTGTTTCAGCATATAGAGCATTCAGCCAGAGGAGAAAGTAGCATCAGATGGCAGGAGCTTTAACTCTTACTTGGCCTTTCAACCAGACACGCGAGCACCGCGTAATCTCCGCAAAATGTTGTACACAGAAATTAGTCACCGTTATAGTGGGTGGGTACGTTTCCACCGGCTGCATAGCATGATGTTTTGGAAGCGAACCAGAAGCATTGGGGCTAGGGATCTTATGTTTGAAATCTAATTTTTATGTGCTACACTTCAAGAATCCATCAAACTCTGCAGTTCAGATCGGGCCTGACAGGAAGCCAGCCAAGCAGTGTTAGACATCTGGAAACTTTCAAAGTAAAAGCCAACTGCAGATTTCCTGTTGTTTAACTAGTAAACAAAAAGTGATTTCCTGTCAATACATGTGTGTGTGTGTGTGTGTGTGTGTGTGTGTGTGTGTGTGTGTGTGTGTGTGTGTGTGTGTGTGAATCCTGACTTGTCTGACTGTCGCTGACTTTACAACTTGAAATTCTAAGCAGTTCTTTAATGTTAACAACTCTGGGAGTTTTATTTCACCCCATCCCTGGAACATCTGACAGCAGACTTGGCTTTTGTTTAGTTTGTGGAACGGGCCCAACAGTACTGTCTCTGTGCTGTGGCACACACTAACAACCCCTCAGAGAGAAACACTCCCATGCATTGTCCACAGCCTGACACTCTCAAACACTTACTATACCAGCCTGCTAATGAATCCACAATGAGATTCAACAGACGGACAATCAGTGTGTGTGTGTGTGTGTGTGTGTGTGTGTGTGTGTGTGTGTGTGTGTGTGTGTGTTCGTATCTGAATTATTAAAGTTATGTACAATAAAAATGAACAGTCACACCCTAGATGTGAGGACAGACGTAACTGGATCTTCCATTTGTCTAAGGTTAGATTATGTTTAGAAATGTGGCTTGATGTCATTGTCCTTCAACTGAAGGGAAAATGTGTTTGTGTGTGTGTGTGTGTGTGTGTGTGTGTGTGTGTGTGTACCGGATATTGCTTTAACAGAATCAGTCTAAACATCTGATTTTAATCACAGGAAAGTGAGACAGACCTTCAGACAGAGGCTCCCTTGGAGTGTCTCGTGCCTGCTGAGGTCAGAGAACATTCACATGCATTTATTGTGTTCATCAGCATTTGAGACATGAGAGAGCTAAATGGGTAATGCAGATCAGCTTAAATAAATAACATACCCTAAATTCTACTGTAGTAAACAAAGAGCAGAATTCAACTGGACAGGGGTCAGAGTTTATGAGTGAGGAAGCTGCTCTTCAAGTTTTTATTCTGATCAATTTCTGCTTGAAGTGGATTGTGAAAAGTTTACAGGCTGAATGGGTGTTGTTCATTGTTATGTTCTTTGTTCTGGGTATGATGTAAATGTCCTCTACAACAATGGTGTCCTCAAGGGGGTCCCCATCTTTGTGCTGAGATTGTGAGATTACCAATATTATTTTTGTAAAACAATCTTTTGAAAATCCCAACAACACACCCAATAGTAGTCTAACTCTGTATAACCTCTGTATGTCTGTAGAAAATTTGTCAGTCATCACTTTCAATGTGTGTATGCACATTGTACAGACCACTGCTCTACAGAAGTGACGCTGTTGCTTCTGAGCAGGTCTAACCACTCTACATTTCTTCAGCAGCAGATCAGTCCTCGCATCAAACTGATATGAAAGATATCAGAATACTGTTCACCACACACTGATCTGTGACCTCTGAATGGTCAGATGTCCTGTACAGGCTCAAGTTTTTAGGTGTTTGCAACAGCAGGATGAGAGTTCGGGGTTAAAATAATACGTTTACCTCAGTGGTGCACAGTCACTGACATTTGCATCAAAACCAAAACAAATCTTATGCATTTCTGATGCAGCAGATGGTTAATTACAAAGAACCAACTATAAACAGTTAGCAGATGATTCAGCAAAACATCTTTTCTACTAAAAAACTAAAGGTTCACATTGAGCAAACCACTGGAAAATCACAATAGCTGTATCTGTATTCATAAAAACACGAGAAATAAGTTATGTGTTTTTTTTCCTTATTTACTTATTTCCTGGTATATTTAGATATTTTATACTGTGTATATTTCAGCATTTGACCTTGTGTTATAATGTTGTTTATGTAATCTTGGGTCTTTCTTATTGTCATTGTTAATATCTATGGAGGACCCACTTGAAAACAAGATGGCTCATCTCAAGAGGTTTTCATCCTCCCAAAAATATGTGAATAAATAAATAAATTTTCCCTGTCCATTTAATTATAACAACTCAATCAGCTTAATATGTATTCAAATTCGAATTCCTGTAAAGTGGCTTAAGCCTGTCATGCCAAAACTGCTCCTAAAGGCACCAAGCTCTACAGCTCTAATGACCTGAAAACCTGACCTGCCTCCCTGCTTACCTACCTCACCTGGTTCACCGTCATTCTTGTCCCAGATAAATACTCATCACATATCCATCCATCCATCCATCCATCCATCCATCCATCCATCCATCCATTTTCATCCATTTATCAGGAGTCGGGGTCGCGGGGGCAGTAGCCTAATGCGAAATGGTAAGATCTTCTGGAGAAAACTTACTTTTTTCTTATACTAAATAAAACCCACAAATTAGAATCGTCGTTTGACAGGGTGGTCATATCAGTGTGACCCGATTTATGATGCGCCCTGGCTACTTGGCCAAAGGAATGTTCTTCTGGCTGACCGGTTAGCTTGCGTGGGTCTCACCCAAGCCCCCACAATACAGCTCTAAAATTGAGGCAAACCCGGAAATGAAATAAATTGTAGTTCCACCCTCATCCGCTGGGGGCTGGTGTCAGAAGCGAGCAAATCCTCATTGACTCCCATGTTAAAAATAACAATTTCACAGCAGAAATAAACATGTTTACAGCCTGGTACCAAAACATGTTTTTTGTTTAAATGATCTAGTTTACACTCATGACAACTCTGAGGGGGGTGAATTTTTTTCTCACTCTTCTGTTTAAGTGTATTAAAAGCCTAAAATTCTGTATAATTAATGAGCATCAGACCCACGTGACCACAGAGCTAGCTCCGTGGAAAGGCCTCAGTAGAGGCTCGGTCTGGCTTGGAAACTGCTCCGGGAGTCTCTGTGTTTGTGTATTCTTGTTTGGATATTATTTGTGCAATTGGACAAAATGACTTGCTGTGGCATTAATTGCACTAATAGAGCGTCCAAGGAGTCTCCACTTCATTTTTTCGGTAAGTAAAATTATATTTATATATTTTAGGTCACTGCCGAGCTGAGCTTAGATTTTAACAAGTACAGTTTAACCATGACATTTAAATGTAATAGGGTAAAACCCAATGCATTTAACATAATGCTGCACTTTAGAAAATGGGTTGAAGTATAACATGTTGGTGGAGCTGGGTTCCGACTATCGGCTTGTGGAGCTCTCGGGAGACCGATGTTTTCCACCCTTATCCCCTCCCCGCAGCCCGGTCCATCTCTATCTGATCACGGCTTCTGTGGAGGTCTCGGAGACTTCTGTGTTCCCACCCGGTTTTACCCAGCGGTCAGCCCGGCATATGAAGCACAGTTAACTCCGGTTGTAGCTAGGTTGCTACCTCCATTAGCTCAGCTCACACCTCTGCATTAGCTTTGGGTTAGCCAGGGTTAGCTTGTAGCTAGTTCGACCGGGTGTCGTCAGTTGATCCCAGCTTACAGCCCCACCCTCAGCTCCTCCTCTCTTCCCTTTTTTGGAATTGTCTGGGCTTGACGGAACCTGTGACACGGTCAAAATGGCGGTGGTGGCCACCTCCCATTTGGCCTCAAAAACGTGATATTGGAGCCTATGGAAAGGAGATGTCCAGTATAGTTATGTCGATGGTCTAACCTGGGAGTCTGCAGAGCATTTCTCCATCTTTCCAAAGTTGATATAGTTTGTGAAATATACACATACATAAAGAACCCTCATTTACAAAATAAAGTGGATTTTTTACTTTTAAATGAAAATGCGTTGACTTTTTTTGTTACTGGTTGGATTTATTTCTGGAGTAATTAATTTTTATTCAAAAAATTTTTGATAAAAGTATGTGGACTTTATTCTCAGATTTTTGACTTCCTCCTTGTCATTCATTCATTCATTCATTCTCAGTGTTCCTAAAAATGTCTTCCACAAACGGCTCCTCATACAGGTGTCCCCATAAAGCAGCAGTTAGCCCAGGTCCCCCTTTCTGGCTCTGGTCCCAACAAAACCCGGGCTGATTTATAGCTGTTATTAATCGATGGGGCTGACGGGGAAACTCCCACCGTAGGCGGTTCAACAGGGGCGGTTCTGGTCGTTTACACCCAGTGTGACCAGCCTGCTGTGAATGAACGACGCTTTTTCCACGTTTGTCCTCGAGGTGGAACGGACGGCCGGTTTGTTGGAGTTCCGCTGTCAGGATTTACCGGAACTTTAGTCGCCTTCAGACACACACCTAGCTGCTGATCCACCATGGTAATAATTCATGTTTTTATCGAAGAAACATTTTAAACGAGTTTCACAGCATCTTCGGAAAGTTCCCAGTTCGTGGTTCGAGCGCGAGTCTGCTCGGTTACTGGTCTGGACAACCGAACTTCTGGGTCCGCTCACACAGGTAGGTCCACATCTGTGAGGATTCGTGTTTTCTGCAAGTCCCAGAGGCATTTTAGATTAAGTCTTCTCACACACATTTAGTTTAGCGTTGGAGTCCTGCTAACAAGTAAATATTAAGTTACTGTATGGAGCCATCAAACCGACTAGACCACCTTTAAAAGAAGATGTATAAAGCATCTTCATCTAGTCTATGTACAGTTTATGTTGCATTGTTACATTTACTGTTTTGTTTAATCTCATATTAGGCAAAAATTCAAGGAGAAAACTATGTAATTGCACAATTTATTTGTATAAAGTGAATAGTATAGAATTCTAGTTTGGTTCTGGTTCTGTTGGAGAATATTTATTATTACCATGGATTTGAGTCCTGTTGTGGGCTCATATCTGTGGTTAGAGATCCCTGAATCTGGTCATCTGAAATGTGCCTGCTTGAAAATCACTAACTTTAGTTCTATTCAAACGAATATGAATAATAAAATAACTGAACACATTCATAATGTAAATAATTAGCAAATGTTTTTTAGTGCTCACTTTTGAAATAATGGTTTTAGATTTGTGAAAATCCTTGATCATGGACGTCACTAGGATTGAGAGATAGGAGGGCTTAGCCCCAGGAGCTTGACCTCGAACGTTTTTTGTCACACCCTGCAAAAACTTTGTCAATTTATTCATTATCTGAAGAAAATCTAACAAAACCTATTATTTTATCACTTTCCTTTCCTACTTTTGTGCATTTTCTCTCTTCTTTTTATAAAAAATAACACTTAATCAGTTAATTAGTGGGGTCTATGTTGAAGAAAGATTTTATGTAAGTCCATTAAAAATTTGATATGTTATCTTTCCAAATAAAGCTATTCATTTCAGTCTACTGCACTTAACAGGGGGAAATGTTGTAGTCATTTATTTGTTTAATTACAACTTGTTTAATTATAACTGTTACTGAAATGTGACAATAAAGAACAAATGAATAATTGTCAAACTTTTATTCTGCCAAATGAGTGTGCAGTTGACAGTTTTAATGTATGAATAACACTGCTATGATATGGAATAAAGGAGTATATAATTAACTATTACAAGACAAAATAACAGTATATATGAAAATATCCAGCAAGTAGTAGAACTTATAATACAGAAAGTCAACTATACAGATACAACTTGACATAATGTTGCAGGCCAGATGACAATTATAGTGTTTTTTTTCTCAAGGTCTCTTACCTGTTCACTCCTAAATAGAAAACTGTTCAATTTTCCTTGGGAACTTTGTGCTCAGGTAAATGCTCATAACGGTGCGCTCGCCCCTGTTTTCTCTGTAGATCACTGACCTTGACCATGCAGATCTCCTCAGCATTAACCACCTGGTCTCTCTCCTGTTCCTCACTCACTCTCTTAAAAAAATCTTCGTATATCCATCTAGCCAACACATTGAAAAACATTTTCAATTTCTAATGCCAAAAAAAATGCTACTAAGCCATTTAGTTTTCACTCACAATAACTGAAACAGCCATTGGTGGATAGATGGGACAGAATATGGACAACTGTTAGCCTAATATAGCCTATGTTTGGTTGCTCATGATGATGGCATTTTCCATAATGTCACATTAAGCTGCCAAAATTTATGTTAAAGTTAGATGAGTACAAAATATCCTTTCTTTACCATAGGTAAACATAGCAAATATTAAGCAACTGACAATCCACATGGAAATAATTCATATAAACATATAGGTTTTAATATATGTTTTGATATAGCTTTTGAATATATGTGACATATATAAAACTGGCTGTTTATTATAGATACATATATGTACCTATAATATAATATATATATATATATATTATAGAAAAAATATATAATATAGAAAAATGGTCAATAATATACATATTTGGCCATATTCTGATTCAGGTTTTTAGTGTGGAGTGATTTTTGTGCCACCAACTGGAGCGTGCAGTAATCAATCTGCAAGACCACAGCCTGCTCTGCAGTCATATGCGGCCCTCTCTCTGCATGCTCAACTCCGTCTCTGCCTGCACAAATCTCCCTGTTGTTGCTCAATTTGCAATTTACAAACTAATGTAGCCTCTCCGTCAGCCAATCAGACAGCTCTCCATTATGCAATCAAAGCATGTCCAGGAAATACTGCCAGGAAAATTGCACTTTTTTCAGATAAAGAGGACTTTATATAATTATATTTAATTAGGTTGATTAACCCTCCTCTTTTCCTGGGACATTTCCACTGTTCACTTCCTTTTACACATCAAGGGCTCATTTATGTCTAACCAAACAGAGAAGAAACACTTTATATGTTGAAATAAAAAGTCCTCTTTAACTGAAAATAGTGCAATTTAACAGTTTTAGGAATGGGCAATGTGTCTTTTCTGGAAGTCAAATATGGTCACTCTAATCATGACACATGAATTACAACAAAGTATCTTGCAGGCAGTGGATGGTGACTGGTAGCTAACCAGCAGCAGAAAGCAGTTCAATAAGCTGTTAAATTTGTGTTTTTCTGTAAAGCAGTGTTTCCTGGACATGCTTTGATTGGATAAAACAGAGCTGTCTGTGATTGACAGTTGGAGAGGCTACTTGTTGAGGAGAGCAGGGAGAGATTTGCATCGCAGAGACAGAGTTGAGCCCACAGAGGGCTGCAGCTGCTGCACACAAGTGCAGAGCAGGTTCTGTTTGTGCAGACTCATTACTGTACGCTCAAGTTGGTGGCACTAAGTCACTCAATGAACTGGCTGGCTAGTTAATCACGTCACTTCAGGGGAGTTTTCCGACCATTTAACTATGGCGCGGCTTTTCATTATGGTTTGCGGCATGTAAACATGCTAGCGGAGTTAGCATTAGCATGTCGGTGCGGTAACATTTTCCTCTCTCGTCTGAACTATAACCTTGAAATATTAACGGTGTGCTGCTGTTGCTGTCTTACCCTAATGTGATGTTGAGTGACTTACAAGAGCGCTGAGCAGGGTTTGCTCATCGATATAAAGGTTTTGCTGTACAACCCCTGCCCCTGACTTGTCAACAAAGCTGCCGGGCTTAAGGGGAGGATGTCCTTTCTTGATACTTCATGTGTGCGACGGTGTAGTTCTATATTCATTAGGCCAGAGCAGCGAAAGCGCTGCGAAGGCCTCTTGTTTTTGCTCTGATTATTTTTTGTTATTCCGTGCCCCCTTTGAACGGCTTTTTGGGGACCTTAACATACCCCAAAACTCACAATTTTTTGCAAACTTGTCAGGCCTGGTGAAAAATTTGATATTTTAAAGGTCCCAAAAAAATCGCAAAGAAAATGGCTGAACAGCGCCCCCTAGAATGTGAAAAAAAAACCCTCTCCATAAAGCTTAGTTTATCGTACAGTTATGAAATTTGGTACACTGGTAGTACTCAACAGTCCGCACAGAAAAGTATCTTGCAAGCATGGTCAATATCAAACAGGAAGTCGGCCATTTTGGGTTGAAATGGCGATTTTTAGCCGTTTTTGCCGTTTTTAGGGTGCGTTTCTGATTGGATTGCTCGATCATTTTTCGCACGATCGTCTCAAAAATTGTGTAAAATTGCTCAGAAGGAATGGGCGAACAAAATGAGACAAGGATTCTGAGTTTTCGTATATGTTGAAGGGGCGGGGCCAGGCCTCAAAGTTTGACTACTCGCCAAAAATATTTAAATTGCTATAACTTCATAACTGAATGGAATAGAGTTACCAAACTTTCTGAGGTCATTCGTCATCCACCCACAAAGTAAATTGAATGGTCGCATGATGACGTCACACAAGCTCCGCCCCCTCAGGACCAAAAAGGTCAAGTTTTACTGTGAAAGGTCCCAAATCGCCCCATTTCACTTAATCACCACAAATTAGTAGCTGGTAACTCAAGTCAAGTGGGGGTTGCTTGGCGTCACTTTATGGGAGTTTTCGGCAGAGGGCGGGGCTGTGGCGGCGCGGCGAAGTCAGGCGTACCGCCGTGGCCTTACGTTTGCCTCCCATTTCGTCATTTCTAAAGACATCGTCACGAAACTTCTTGTGAGTGATCCTAGTCTGGCCCCGCAAAAGATCTGATGTGAATATCCGGTGGGCGTGGCCTATTTTCGCTACGGAACTTCTGGTGAGTGATCCTAGTCTACCCCCAAGAGACATAGACAGCTGAAATATGTGGGCGTGGCCTAATTTCTGAAATAGCGCCCCCTAGGAACATTTAAACTAATAGCCCCAAGCCATGCTTTCACTGAGGATTACGAAATTTGGTACACTAATGTGGTGTCTCAGGACCTACAAAAAAGTCTCTTGGAGCAAGGCGCAAAGTCACACAGGAAGTCGGCCATTTTGGTCCAAGTGCGCGATTTAGTGGTTTTCGTACACGTTGTTTGGAGAGTGATGCTCCGTCGCCCTTTTCACCAATCTCCTTCAAACTTCTGCTATATACTCTTAAGACATAGGGGAAAAAAATTCAACCATCGGATTTTTCAAAAGTTGAAATATGTGGGCGTGGCTAAGCCTCAAACTTTGACCTTTCGCCATGCCACTCTTATTTTCACAGCTCCCTATTGGACTCCTTTTACCCAATCACCAGGAATCTCTGGCAAATAGCAGTAGACAACTTGAGATCACTTGGTATCCAGTACTGGTAGGTTTCGAAAAAAGGCGGGGCTTCGGGAGCATGGCGAAAATCGCCATCACGCCATGGAAATACGTTTGCCTCTCATTTCTTCAATTATCGTGATATTGCTACGAAACTTCTGGTGAGTGATCCTAGTCTGACCCCCAATAGAAATGGTCAGCTTAAGTTTGTGGGCGTGGCCTATTTTCTTACATAGCGCCCCCTAGAGCAATTAAAACTGTCAGCCCCAAGCCATGCTTTGACTGAGGACTACAAAATTTGGTACACTAATGTCGTGTCTCAGGACCTACAAAAAAGTCTCTTGGAGCCAAGTGCAAAGTCGCACAGGAAGTCTGCCATTTTGGTCCAAGTACTCGATTTAGTGGTTTTCGCACACGTTGTTTGGAGAGT